AACGTCCTCCACAACTAGACTGAAGAACAAAACGACAGCAACTTGTGTGTTCCCCTTCCCCCAATTCCCCAGCACTGTTCCCATCCCCCCAATTCCTCAACAAAAATCTTTAAAAAAAAAAAAAAAAAAGAAAGGTGGTGATCAGTTTATCCTGGAAGTAGTAAACAGGGTGTTTTCTTCCCACTTCAGGTATTGGCCAGAAGACCATAAGTAGTGGCATGTTGGTGAGCAGAATCCCACTTTCCTGGAGGAATGAGGCCACTTCCTGCTTCTGAGAGATTGTCAGATATCTTCTGGTGTTTACGAGTAAGAGCTGATTGACCTATGTGGACTAGCTATCCATTTCTTCATTCAATATTTGCTGAGCATCTGCTTTGTATTAGGCACTCTGCTTAGTTCTTGGAGTGCAGATGTGAAGGAATTAATTACTATTTTCAGATATTTGTAAGTGCTATTGTGACAAAAGAAATGCTGACCCATATTACAAAAATGCTATGCAGCTATTAAAAATTGGGAGATAAACATACACAAATGTGACCTTGACTTTCTTCTGCTGCTTTAATGTCTCGTCAGTATATTCTCATCTGTATCAGATATTCTAATGTGCTAGATGTGCTAACTCAAGTTGCTGAAGCTGGGAAGTATGCTTCCAGAATCCCCTCCTGACATCCTGACAGTGCTCTGAGTTAGAGTTAGCCAAAAGAGGACCTGGTGTCAGGTCTAGAAGGCAGAATGGGAGCCTCAACCACCCCTCTGGGGAGATCTCCATCGTTAGACACTGTGACAGACAGAGGTGCCCACAGATAGATCCCAGCTAGTCCTCAAGGCCTTAGCGATCCTCTCTGATCACCCCACAATTCATTCCAGACCTTCACTTCTCCAGCTCCCGCCACCTTCCAGTAAAGTCTCATTCCTATAATTCCCTTATTTCCACAATGAATGTGATAGCTCTACTCCCTTGAATGAACCCTGACTGATACACCTCGTCATAAAGGGAGGCATATAGGAAGATGGTTAAGAGTGTGGGCTCTGGATTCAGACAGCCAGGGGTGGGGATTTAGAAAGATAATCCACACGCAGTTTTTTAACACAATGCCTGCCACACAGCTACCACCAAACAGTATGGTAAGTAATGGCTCCTTCAGGTTGGCCCTTAGTGCATGGGATAGAACTTCTATTTACCTTTAGTTGACTTCCTGTTGGATTTCCACTCTCCTCAATCCACTGAAGAATTCTAGAACAGCCCTTCTTAAAATGGGGCAAGACTGGGTGGGAGAGGGAAGGAAATGACCAGTCAGCCTCCCTTTCTTCCCCCATTTGAGATTCTAATATGCCCCTCTATAGCAGGGAGTGTCAGTTCTCCACATCTCCACGGGTCCACGTGTATGCGCACACGTCCTCTGACCTCCTCTCTGTGCTTTCTCTCCCAACAGCCAGCACTTGCAGCTCTTCTCTGCAGGAGTGCCCTCAGCCTACTGGGGCACTGTGCCTGCACAAGAGGAAAGCCTG